CAGTTAAGTATTTTTGGATAAGTATTTTAATTTGTTATAGCATTATTATTTTTGGTATAGTTGTGCATCGCAACTTTAAATAAGTGATATTGATTTGTATAATTGTGCACCGTAACTTTAAATAAGTGATATTGATTTATATAGATGTGTACTGCAACTCTAAATAAATGATATTTCTTTTAGTTATTCATTTTTTTTGGTATTGAAAGCACTAGAATATACGACTACAAGTATAGAAATATCAATACCCTTTTCTTTAATTAGCAGTCTCTTTTTATTAATCGTCCCTTTGAACACACTCTCCCAATCTCTCTTTTCATCTTTGATAGAATTGTTTAACAATTTTTGTTGAAATTGGCACAGGCTTAGATACTTATTTTTGCACTGATCAATTTTATTAGTCTATTCTTCTCTCCCAACTCATATGACTCTTTTACTAATAGTAAAGAAATCCTTCATTTAAAGTAACCGTAGCAATATTTTGATTGAACTATAAAGTTCTTTTAAATGATACTTTATGAGAGGAATTATTATTAAGTAGCTATATTATAATTAATAACTAGTTTTTATGTGTTTTCCAAATTTTTTGGTGCTTGATAATACACTTTTATTTTTATTATTGATTTTAGTTCATTTATATCTTTTATTTGTTCAACAAAATATCTAAATATTCTTAAATTATACCAGTTTAATGAAGTTATTTAAGTTGTTTTTTCAAATTCTATTGATAATTTAATGATTAAAAAGTATTATATAATTCTTGAGCAAAAGTATCAAAGTTAACAAAAGTGAGTTTGATATTATTGATATTTGTTTTTAACTTATTAAAAAGTTATATCTTTAAGTTCAGTTGATGTATAATTTATTTTTGTTTTATTATTGATAACATTTTGAGTGGTAAAGATATTTTTAATTCTCAATAACTATATTAAAATATTCTTATTTGATTTATCTTTATAGATTAGAATTTTAACTGAAATTTTTGAATTATAGTTTTCACTATTATTATTTGCAATAGATACTTGATCACTATTACTACTAGTAGTATTTTCATCTTGTTATTGCTATAATTATTGAATCTATTAATTTTTTATTTCTAATTGATTTTAATAAAATTGAATAATATCAATAAAAGTTTACTATTATTTAAGCAAAGAACCAAATCTATTTATGAATTGTTGAAATTGTTGTTGATCTATTATAGTATATGTATTAATAATATAAAATGTGAATGTTTAAAGTGTATATATAAAGCATATGTATAAAATATATATATAAAATATATATAAAAAGTATATATTATAATTTTAATAATCTTTATTCATTACTATTAAGTTATAAAAATACTTTTTTATATAAATTATATTAATTGAAATAATTTTCAGTTTTAATTTTAATAAAACTTATTTTTTATTTATTAAATAGTAAAAAGATCTAAAGAGCTATAGTATAGAACAGAGATATTTAAATATATAATTGATATTTAATGAATTACAAATAAATAAAATTAATAATTTAAAACTTATTGCTATTTATTTTATTATTAAAAGGTGATGTATCTCCAAGTTATATTATACTTAATTAGATATATATAAAATATAAATAATAATAAAAAATAATTAATATGAATTTAAAAATAATAAATATAAAAATGAAAAAACAAATAAAAATAAAAGAAATTAAAAACAAGATGTGTCTAAATAAATAATATGATCTATATTTCACATCTAATTTATTTAGTGAAATATTAAGAAGTATTAAATGTAAATCTGTATTAATTTCTTATATATTATACAAAAAATGATAAATATAATATAAAAAATAATAGATATAATACAAGAAAATATAAGAGTATATGAAAATTATTATATTAGCAATTTATTAATCTTGTCATCCATTTGTCTAGCAATTATTCATAGTATAATTATTTTGATAATACTACTATATATGTCTGGACTGATTGCATTAGTAACAAGTCTATTTATCCTGGTAATTTAGTAAATTTTGTGTTTGATTATATGTTCTAGATAGGTAAGTTGATCATTTTGTAACTTTTACTTGCTTGAATCTTCCAGCCAGATCTTGAAGAGTCTTGATAATAGCATTAAAGTCATTAGTTAATATCACTTTTTTTTGATGATAGATCTTTGCTGGCTCCTCTGAATTAGCTTCTTCGACAATTTTTGTAACTTTGATAATGTTATCCAGCATTCCGTCAGAATTTATAGTGATCTATTTTCTAATTTTCAGTTTGAGTTCTCTTATATAGATTTATATTTTATAGTCAACCAAGTAATCATCATTGGGATTATAATTGAATGAATCAATTAGTATATTCTTTGATAGTTTCTTCCTGTTTTAATGTCTTAAGCTCATTCTATTATTGTTTGATCTTGCAATAGATCCAAAATTTTGCAGTGAATTGATATTTGAAGTCATAATCATCATGCTGTTGATTAGTCCACTCGTTAGGTAGAGATTATTGTTGACGTGTCTTTGATCAAATCAAATGATAGTGATTCATTCGAGATAGTTACACATGATCTGAGTCTTTCATTTATCAGTTATTCCATTGGCTTGAGCAGTGACTTTAAGTCTCAGAGTCACTCAACTGAATCCTGATTTTTGTCATGGAACTTTTTAATTGGAACAATGATCTTCTCTGGATATTGAACAAGTTCAGCATGCATTGTTTCAGTAAATTAAATGAGAGCTTCTATTAAGTTGTTTATCTGAATTTGATGTAGATTACCACGCAATTGATGCGTATATAGTTATTTCTTTGTTTCAGTAATGATAGAGGAGAAATTCACAGAGAAAGCACCAGAAAATGTTGTGCTTTTGTTAGGTTGGGGATGATTTAAGAGATTTATAATGCAACAAGTCTTTGGGAGAGATTATTAGATTGATTGATATTTGTTCTATATCTAGAACCTGTGCTGATATCTACGGATATTGTTGATTATGTTAATTGGAAGGGGAGAGAGATGATTATGTGTTTCAGGTGAGTGTTAGAGGAATTTCCTTTATTGTTCATTTTTATAGATAAAAGCCTTAAACTCTTAAAAATAATAATGATAATGGTGATCACACAAAAATGATTTTTTTCATTAACAATGTGATTTTACGCGAAACAATGCCTGGTACAAAGGATCTAACCGACAATTGATATAACAATTAATGTGGGAAAAATGGGGGAAGAGATTTTACAAGCAATAATTCGCTTTTAAGAATAGTTGTACGCAAAGATTCAAGCTGTCTTTTGCTCGGAGAAGAATTGTACACAATTTTATTTCTCTTTTTACAAGTGGCTTACTTGGAGAACAATTGTTTGCAATATGAATTCTGTTTTTATTAGTAGCCCATGGACCATTCTTTTTATATTTATTTTATGTACTTTTAAAGAAAAAGAAGGCATTACATTTTTACTATTAATAAAAATAAAGAGTTCATAACGGACGCTCTATAGAAGTAACTGTTACAAAATGAATCAAAAACTAATGAAATCGTGCTAAAGAATGATAGGGAGACGCTGAAAATGATGAGGAGATGCTGAAAACGATGAGGAGATGCTGAAAACGATGCAGAAACGCTGAAAAAAAAAGATGCGGGGAATGGCGTAGTTCCGTATCATATATTAAAAAGGGAGTTTGTTATTTTATTAGCATGTCATCATAACAAATCGCATTTGTTGACATTCGTGAGTGAATCTGCTGCTATTTTGCTGAATATTCTGCAGCAGTATTTGCTGAAGAGCTTACCGAATTGGGAAACTTGCGGTATTGTGATGGGAATTCGCCGTAGTGGTTGCTGTAAATTCTACCAGCTTTGGGAATCAGCGACGCTACACATACACTGATCCGTCGTTATTGGCATCCTTGACTCGATTTTCGTCGGTTACCCTCGAAGAACCGTAATCGAGGAAGTTTGTTTATCGGCGGTAACAATATATTTGCTAAAACATCTTTTTTGAGTTATCTCTGATTACAAACCATTTTGTGTATTATAATGTCACATGAATATAAGACTCTTTTGATATCAAATTTGTCGTTTATATGCAAATTATTCATGCAGAGATTATACGTAAAATCACCTTCCTGATATTTTTCCCAAACTAGATTTTTCCTATACATGTATCGGATTTGAATGCCGTGTTATGGCTTGTATTATCCTGAATATACATTTCGGGCTCATAAATAACGACCTGACCCACTGTCCTTTGTTACTACAATAATTTGAATTTCTGAACAGAGATACAGCTACGTCATTTTGGAATTCTGAAATATACTCTCCCGGAACAAAGTCGCCGGACACTTTTTTGCGAAATAATATTGGAGAAACTGAAATATGTTTTAATGAATATTTAAATTCTGGCGGAAAGTAATGGCGGTTGATTTTAAAAAGTTTTACATAACAAAACATTATGCGCCTAAATATCAATACTTCTTTCATGAGAAATATTTCTGAAACTTAGGATTGATGTAACAAAATTGAATCATTCATTGACAATAAAACAAAAGATAATTTTAATATTAAACGTCATGTTTTTCTTCGAATTAATATGTATATTTTAAGTAATTACTTAAAATAAATATAAGATCCACTAAGCTAACGATCATTCTAGAACTTCTCCTAATTGGCTCCAAATATTAGTTTCTGAATCATTTTTAAGATTTAATACAGACCATCGAATTGTAATAATGAAGTCCTCGTCATCAACAATCAACATATCATTCTCTTCATTTTCCTTATCCTCTTCCTCTTTCATTAATTTGATTTGCATTTCAATAGATCCACTTTCTTGCCATTTTAAAATATTTGCTTTAAAGAATAAGAAAGTTGGAAACGGAGCATACTCGATATCGAGCATGACAATATTTTTTTGAAAAAGTGATTTTCCAACGTCAATTTTTATATATTCAGAATCGTATGTAAATTTTAATTCTTTAACTCCAAGATTAACTGATATATCACGAGTATTAGGATCGAAATATCCAATTTCATTCGGGCAACCGATTAACATCCACCGAAGAAAATAAGGTCTGCTTGCACTTATTTTTAAAAAAGAAGCAAACTTTTAATATCTCAAAAATCTCAAAAATTAGAATAATATATTTATTAATGCTCTTTACCTCTGCTTGAACGTAATCTTGTCGAAAATCATGCCAGCTAACTGAAAATCCAAATTCGGTTTTCATGCTAAACTTCACATGTACATTTTCTATCTTTTCTTTATGAAGAGTCAGCACATTACCAAATAATTGATAATTATCACTTTCCAATTGACTATCATATTCAATTCGCTGATATCCAGAATTATAATCCAAAAATTGTGTCATTTCGAACATTGAAACAAAATTCTCCTTTATAAAAAGATTTTCAATTTCACGTTGTTGACTTATATTGAGAATTGTGTATAATGGTACAACAACACGCTTTACAATAGACCACTCAGATATTCGATTTGATACTATATCAAACCATTTACGAATTTGACTAATTAAAAGAAAAAAATAATTAGTAATATATTATTATTCTAATTGAATCACCAAGAATTTAAATACCTTAGTTTGATTGGATAACCATCCATCCCTATCATATAAGAGGAATCAAATGGTTGAACCAATTCTCTCCATTTTTCAAGAAAAGGGTCTTTTAAAAAATTTTAAATTAGTTTTATGAAAATATTTATTATAAAAATAATAAACATACCTATTTCAATAATGTCATCAAATTCCTTTGAATGATCTAAGTATTCAGTATTTTCTTTCAGAATAATCCTTTGCAATTTATTACCAAATATTAATTTTGTATGAAAATAATGCCCAAACTCTTGAAAAACAAGCTTTAAATTTTTAATTGGTGTATTTGATTTTAAGGCTTTTTGGATTGCTAAATGTAAATTTTCAGTTGGTTTTAAATCTTGCAAATCAAAAACGATCGATATTTGTTTACTTAAGATTTCAAAATAAATATTGCTTGTCTTTAATTCATTGAATATTTCATGACTGACGGATTTTTCCTGAATAGAATTCTGTTCCTTTGTTATTCCTTGTAATAAGGAGATTCCTTGCGATAAGAAAAATAACTCAGAATCCGTTGTAGTATGTTTCAATAAAGAATTTTTTCTGGCAGTAATTTCAAAAAAAGATATAAAATATTTTTTGATTGCTGGCAGAGAAGGCTGTGTAAAGTGAAATTCTTGATTTTTTATTCCATGAAAGAGTTTGATTTGTTCATTTTGAAAAGTTATTAATAATTTGTAGAATTTATGTAAAATAAATTGTGATCGAGCATTTCCATCCTCAGCAGATTGCAAATACCACCCGAATGTCTTTATCTCATCTTTTTGAACTCCAATGCCATTTTGATAACAGCGACCAATATTATATTGCCCAATAGCATTTCCACCCTCTGCTAATTTCAAATACCATTCAAAAGCTTTTTTCTCATCTTTTTGAACGAAGATTCCATTATCATAACAAAAACCAAGTTGATATTGTCCAATAACATTTCCATTCTTTGCCGATTCAAGATACCATTCGAATGCTTTTTTGTCATCTTTCTGTACTCCAATGTTAGTCTGATAACAGAAACCAAGATTATATTGTCCTGATGCATTTCTATTTTCCACTAATTTCATATACCACTCAAACACTTTTTCTTCATCTTTTTGTGTTCCTATTCTATTTTGATAGCAATAACCAACTTCAATTTGCCCTAAAGCACCACCAATTTCTGCCAATTTCATGTACCACTCAAACGTTTTTTCTTCGTCTTTTTGAGTTCTTATTCCATTTTGATAGCAATAATCAAGATAATATTGTCCTAAAGCATCACTATTTTCTGCTGATTTCATATACCACTCAAACGCTTTTTCTTCATCTTTTTGAGTTCCTATTTCATTTTGATAATAATTACTGAGAGTATATTATTCACCAGTATTTCCACCTTTTGCTGATTTCAAATACCATTCAAAATGCTATTTTCTTGTCTTTTTGAGTTCCTATTCCATTTTGATAGCAATCACCAAGATTATATTGTCCTGCTATATTTCCATTTTCTGCTGATTTCATGTACTATTCAAATGCTTTTTCTTCATCTTTTTGAGTTCCTATTCCATTTTGATAGCAATAACCAAGATAATATTGTCCTAAAGCATCACCATTTTCTGCTAATTTCATGTACCACGCAAATACTTTTTCTTCGTCTTTTTGAGTTCCTATTTCATTTTGATAGCAATCACCAAGATTATATTGTTCTGCTGTATTTCCATTTTCTGCTGATTTCATGTACTATTCAAATGCTTTTTCTTCATCTTTTTGAGTTCCTATTCCATTTTGA